GAGGGCAATGTGTGGATGTCCCTGTCTGGGTGCAGGTTGCATAGTATTAACCAGAAGATTCTTTACTAGGTCAGCAGGCAGGTGATGGTCTTGCATGCCAAAGGGCCAAGCTATAGTCCAGCAGTCAACTTGTTCAGTTGCGAGAAAAACAAGGTGGTGGGGGGAGGTGGCCTGGGGAAAGCGGCTTCCTAAGGGTTGTGTCCTGTCTGCTGCTTTGCCCCCCTCACGTTTCAGAATTGCTCATATATGAGGATGCAGGCAAGTGAGAGCCTTTTTTCTAAAACAACTAGCAGATTTGTGTTTTGATATATTTTATTAAATTTAATATCAAAGTAAATTGAATATATGGAAAGAGCCTTTGAATGCCGTCCTTTTTTTAAAAAAAGAATCTGTTTATTTATTTAAGAAGGCAGTGGAGGTACAGAAAAGAAAAAGGAAAGGAAAAAGAAGGGGTTATTCAACATAATTGCATTTGTCGTGGACAATGATGGCAGGGGAACCTTTACCTTTACCTTTAAATTGAATATATGGAAAGAGCCTTTGAATGCCGTCCTTTTTTTAAAAAAAGAATCTGTTTATTTATTTAAGAAGGCAGTGGAGGTACAGAAAAGAAAAAGGAAAGGAAAAAGAAGGGGTTATTCAACATAATTGCATTTGTCGTGGACAATGATGTAATACAAAATGTATAAGACAGAAAACATTTCCCCTTGCCCTTTGTTGCAATTTTTGAGGTATTACCTATAATATGCAACAGTCCTAGCTTCTATTGAAATGCAAAGGTATTAAACATTTTAAGTTTCAAACTTCATAGTTAATCCGTTTTGACTACATAATTAGCTTCATTATTACTATGTATTCAATATTACATAGTTTCACCACATATTCATTAGAACCTTTCAAAGATAAAAATATATCAAGGTGTGAAGGAAGGTCTATTATATATCTCATATCAAGAACCTATTTGTATTCGAGATGTTACATTTAAAACAGATTTTAATTCTACTATTTCATTACCGTATGTTTGTATATAATATTTTAGACTGCTTCTCATTCTAAGTTTGTTTCCTGTTTGCATAGTACACAACTCAAATGTCTGAATGCTGTCCTTCTGTCCTGTGCTCTGGTAACCCATTCGTTGAAGACCCTCCCGGCTTCTTTGCTCACAGTTATGGAAGCCCAGTGTAGGATGATTCTTCCTTCTTTGGTTATGCAGGGAACCAAAAGCCGCCCTCCCCCCCGCCGCCCCATTTGATTCGCAAGGGTCCCAAACAGGGAGGTAATTTGTGAGGAGTGACACAATGTGACTATAGTGTCTCACACAGACTCATGTCATATTATGAACTTTCAAACTCTGGATTGTCCTCTCGGTGGCAGGCTGCTCCCCTTCTGCATTCCACTTTTCGTCATTTCTCCATGAGTCCCCTTTAAATTGGTTGTCCAACAAGGCCTTGTGCTCCTCCACTGTGCAAGGCTGCAACCTTTTTATTTTTTTTAAAGACCAGAATAGCAGTATTGCTTCTTTCCCCCTATACATGCAGAAAGGCTGTATCCTCCCAGCAAGCCTCATCTTCTCCCACCCCCCCCCAGCACAATGTGTCCAGACCAGTTTCATATATGTTATTATCCAGAAAGGCCAGTGGCTCACCTAGCCCCCCCTTCTGGCAACTTATGAAGAATGCTGGGCTAGAAAGATGTGAGGGTGATCCTGCCCAGAAAGATACCCCTGAGGTTCTTATGCAAGAACAAAACTCAGGATCATGCAATCCAGAGTAGTAGGGCACTAACAGTTTTGCGGTCCAGATTTGGCACTGTAAATCCACAAAAGCAGACCAAACAGGGAGCAGAACCATGAAAGAAAGAAAGAAAGAAAGAAAGAAAGAAAGAAAGAAAGAAAGAAAGAAAGAAAGAAAGAAAGAAAGAAAGAAAGAAAGAAAGAAAGGCTGATGTTAGCCTATCATTGGAATATTCCAGACCACCCCCAGCCCCATGATCAAAGTGAAAATCTGACACGCCCTCCATTTAAGGCCCATGTGGCTGCATAATAAGCTCACCTTTGTTTTGTTGTCTGAACAGGCCTCCTAATTTTCCTCCCTAAATGCATCGATACTGGGCATTGAGTCTATGCTAGGGTTGCCAGCCTCCAGGTGGGGCCTGGAGATCTCCCGATTTTACAACTGATCTCCAGCTGGCAGAGATCAGCTCTCCTGGAGAAAATGGCTGCTTTGATGGGTGGACTCTATGGCATTGTACCCCTGCTGCGGCCTCTCCCCTCTCCTGGATCCACCCCCAAAGTCTCCAGGTATTTTCCAACCCAGACCTGGCAACCCTAGTCTGTGACTTTCCATAGCCAGGGATTGGGAGGGCTGGGGCAGTTGGGGGGGGTCTTATGAGTGGTCTCTGAAGGGCCAAAGATACTAGACACTTCCATGCTAGGAGTGGGGCAATTATCTTTAACATGCATCAGGAAAGTTTAACTCTTCTTTTCCAAATGAATTTGGCCCAGAACGAGAGGAGTTCACTGATTTCAGGCAGCTGGGATGCCACCCAGAAATGATCTCATATGTTCTCTTTTCAACCTCCATGAAATTCTGTAGAGCTGTGACAATTGCTTCCCTGCCGATGCAGTTAGCCCAATATGAGCCAGGGTGGTTTAGTGGTTAGATCATCAGACTACAATGTGGGAGACCCAAGTTCAAATCCCTCCTCTGGCATGAAAGCTCACTGCGGAGGCTAACTTAGGTCAGCCACATACTCTCAGCCTAACCTACCATGCACAGTTGTTGTTGTGATGATAAAACCAAAGAGAGGAAAACAATCTAAGGCGCTTTGGGTCCCCATTGGAAAGAAATGTTGCGGTCACACATGCGAGATAACGTGCGGGGGAAGCGAGGCTATTTACCCCGGAGGAAACTGACCCGCAGTTGTGTGATCACACAATCCTTTGAAACTGCAGGCATAACCCGCCACTGTGTGATCAGACACAATCGTGGGTGAGTCGGGTTTTTTTTGTTGCCATTTTTTTTTGATTCGCTTAAAGGGAGGATCAATGAATCGCATCTCCACACTGAGGGCTTCCTACGGCAGTATGCGATGATGCGCATACTGAGAAGGGGGGGGGAAACAATGGCATGGAGTTGGGATGGCTTGATCAGACCATCCTGACGCCATGAGAGTGCGCTGGAGCGATCACACAGGGGAAAGTCTGTCTGTGGCCCATAGCAATCCATTTGCTACTGGACTTTCCCCAGTGTCTTTTTATTCCGCTTCTGCAGTGGAGCAAAACGGGTTGCCGACGGGTGCGGGACACTGGGCAGATGTTAGCGTCTGATCGCGCCCTTTAAATCCGCCCGGCATTCGTTCCTATGGCGCGGCTAATTGTGCATGTGATGGGATATAAATGAAGTAAATAAAAATGTTAGAAGAACATTTTCTGAACCACATTGGCTCCTGTCCCAAGACAGTAACCACCTAAAAACTAAGAAGTCAAGAAGTGCTTTAAGATTTGGGTCTAACTGCTTTCCAGATCATCCAGATGGGTAGACAAGTGTTCCCTCTAAGCTGAGTTAGTGTGAGCTAGCGCAAAGCCTTTTAGCCTCCAGCTCACACATTTTTGCCTTGGCTCAGTAAGGATGGCTCCAGAGCAAACTAATTTATGCAGTAGCCAAATCACTCGCTCACAAGTAGAATTTCTGCTTGCAAAACTCCACAGCTTAGAGGGAGCATTGCCATATTTATCTGTAGCAGCAAAATAAAACATCTGTCCAGTGGCACCTTACAGACTGGAATGTGATTTGTTAGTCTTTGACTTGTCACCGGGCTGCAGTTCTAGTTTGCTTTAAAAATATGTTTAAATTTAGTTATTCATATGAATAGACAGGAAGTAAAGTTCTGTGTTGCATTAACAAAAGGTTGATATGTACTTGGCTAATTAGTACACTTTCCCCCTTTTCTTCCATTTTTCTTCCATTCATACTTGGCTGGTTAGTATACTTCCCCCTTTTCTTCCATTTTTCTTCCATTGTAAAGGCCCACGTTCTTTTAAATTTTTGCACCCACTTTTAACATGGTGACCTTCACCACAATGTCACCCCAGCCTGTGACTGCTCTTTGCTTTCAAGTCCCTGCTAGAGGATATGAAGCCAAGTCTAGTAAGGAGATGTTAATAGTGTAGCCTTATCTAGCAAACGGGGTGTCACTTCTGACATAGTTCAATCACGCTGACTCAAAGCAGATCTTGAAGTGCGAAGCCGCAGAACAGCCTTTGCCTCCTGAGTCTGTGGAAACAGACTTCTCAGTATACATAGAATCAGTGGGCTGTTCTCACAGGAGATTTTCGGGGTGGGTGCTGGTGGAGGGAATGGCTTTTGCTATTAATTATTCACAAGAGAAGCTTGTGAATTGTCTTTTGGTATTATTAACATTAATAAGATAAGGGGAGCAAACCCCCTCCCCCAAAACAGCAAAACCTTATTGTTAAAGTTATGGTCACAAAGGACCCCAAAGCGTTTGCTTGTTGTGAAGCAGGACGGTTGTTGCTCTGCTGCCCTAAAACCCTGATCCAATCTTTCTCACTGTCCCTGCGTCTCTTTTAATTTCAGTTCACACCCCAGAGTGTAAACAATAGGGGCTTCTCCTGATTGCTTCTATGAACAGCATCTGAAACATAAGGCAAAATACCAGGTGCAGGAACCTGCAGACCTCTGGATTGTGGCCAGGAATGATCTAAAGGAGGCTGAATGCCTGTCCCTCCAGGGCTCTAAAACCTGTTAAGGAGAGCTGAGCTCAACAAGAACCAAATCTCAGAGTGGTTGAGGTGTGACCTACAAAAAGAGTTTGTTCTGCTTTAAAGATTCCCACAACTGTGCTGGAGGAAGGGGAGGGGACATGTGGGGGGCTTGCTTCTGCCTTTGCTTGGTCCCATATCCTTTCCAGACCACTTAGTGAGATTTGCAGGAATAGATTCTCAGTGCCTGATAGTATCTTTCGTTTTCTTCCATCAGAAACAAAAGCGGCCCCTCACCTGGGGGTTCCTTCTTCAGCCGTGGACACCTCCCCTCATCACAGCTCTGTTGTGGTCACTCTTGAGGATCGGGACCTCTGGAACAAGTTTCACCAAGTGGGAACTGAGATGATTATCACAAAGTCTGGACGGTGAGCCGACTCTTGACAGGGACAGAAAGCTATAAAACCACCCAAAGATGACGATGCTGGTGTCTTTCCATCATAACCCAAGTTATCCTTGGTGTGGGAGTAACATTATCCTCTAGTCATTCCTTAATATGAATAACCTTTGATTATATACACTTGATTATGAATTCTGAATTTCAGGCTCTACTTAATGTCATGTTCAAATCGTATTTTATTTATATGCATAAAGGCACAAAGGCAATGCCTAATCAAATGCCAGAAAAAAATGTAACATATTTTAAAATTATAATTAAAATCCAAACATAAGGCCCTGTCAGTGAGAAAGCACATTTAAAACAATAAACAACAGTCCAGTACAACACAAAAAACCTCAAAGAGAGGGAAAACTAAATCATCCCTAAAAAGTACTGATTAAGGATATTCCGTTCCTTCACAGACTGTAAATATTGTAAAAGTAAAATTTTACACTGTAAAAAAATGGGGGAAATCCTCAGGAATGTGCACATAAGCAATTTCACTTTAAGATGACCCAAAAGAGTATGAAATTAAAGGGAACTAAAAATGGATCACAGCTCTGTTGTGGTCACTCTTGAGGATCGGGACCTCTGGAACAAGTTTCACCAAGTGGGAACTGAGATGATTATCACAAAGTCTGGACGGTGAGCCGACTCTTGACAGGGACAGAAAGCTATAAAACCACCCAAAGATGACGATGCTGGTGTCTTTCCATCATAACCCAAGTTATCCTTGTTGTGGGAGTAACATTATCCTCTAGTCACCTTTGATTATATACACTTGATTATTAATTCTGAATTTCAGGCTCTACTTAATGTCATTTTCAAATCGTATTTTATTTATATGCACAAAGGCAATGCCTAATCAAATGCCAGAAAAAATGTAACATATTTTAAAAGTATAATTAAAATCCAAACATAAGGCCCTGTCAGTGAGAAAGCACATTTAAAACAATAAACAACAGTCCAGTACAACACAACAAACCTCAAAGAGAGGGAAAATGAAATCATCCCTAAAAAGTACTGATTAAGGATATTCCTCTGGTTCCTTCACAGACTGTAAATATTGTAAAAGTAAAATTTTACACTGTAAAAAAATGGGGGAAATCCTCAGGAATGTGCACATAAGCAATTTCACTTTAAGATGACCCAAAAGAGTATGAAATTAAAGGGAACTAAAAATGGGAGGTAACCGTGTTGGTCCAAAGCAACATCCCAAAACAAAAGCCTTTTGTTAGAACCAATCAAAACAACTCAACACAGTGTGCAAGCTTTTGAGTTTTGCAGAACTCTTAATCAGGCTGGGTGTTTAAAAAAAGGGGGGGGATAGAAAAAAGATCCCTCAGCTGGCTAAGATATGAATGTGTCCTTTTCAGTCTCGGTAGAATGCAATGCTGGCTTTGGTGGAAACAGGATAGATCAGGATGGATCCTTGGCATACTGGGAATGAGATGCAAAAATTGGACGCCCTTGAATTCAAACTGTAACAATCAGTAGTCAATCAAATGTGCCTCTGATGCCAAATGGAACATACAGGCTGAGGGGAAAGGTAGTAGTCCTTATATAAATAGGATGCTGACAGAGAGGCCTTTTATTTTTTAATAATTTAAGCCTGAGAGATCTTTCCTCTTCCGCTTTTTAAACATCCAGTCTGATGAAGAGTTCTGGAGAAATCAAAAGCTTGCACACTATGTTGTGTTATTTTGGTCGGTCTTAATAAAAGGTATTCCATGGCTCCTGGTTTTGAATTAACTTAAAAGGAGCTGCGGTGGCTCAAGTGGTTAAGACACTGAACTGCAGGCTGTGGAAGGTCAGTAGTTCAGCAGTTCGAGACCCGGGTGCCGTATGATGGAGTGAGCTCCCATCTCTAGTTCCAGCTCCTGCCAACCTACCAGTTCGAAAGCAAGAAATTGCAAGTAGATAAATAGGTACCACTTCGGTGGGAAGGTAACAGCGTTCCGTGCGCCTTGGTGTTTAGTCATGCCAGCCACATGACCACGGAAACGTCTTCCGACAGCGCTGGCTCTTCGGCTTTGAAACGGAGATGAACACTGCAACCCTAGAGTTGGTTTCGACTGGCTTTTGAGCAAGGGAACCTTTACCTTTACCTAAAAGGGAATCCCCAGTGTAGTACTTTTTTCTCTGCTAAAACTGAAATTTAAAAAATTAACAGAATTTTAATTTTCCTATGATAAGTGGTTCTGAAGTCTAAAAGCAGTCTGAGCAGCAGACTAGCATTTTTAATTCACTTGCAGTACCCAAATTTTATTAATTTAATTTTTAATTCACTTGCAGTACCCAAATTTTAACTCACTTGCAGTACCCAAGTGAAGGGTATGTAGAGAAATTGTGGGTCTCTACCCTCACGCAGCCCTGACATGGATAGCCCAGGCTAGCCCAATCTCATCAGATCTTGGAAGCTAAGCAGGGCCACCCCTGGCAAGTATTTGGATGGGAGACCTCCAAGGAATACCGGGGTTATGATGAGGAGGCAGGCAATGGCAAGTCACCGCTGAACGTCTCTTGCCTTGAAACCCCCCTGAGGGATCGCCATATGTCAGCTGTGACTTGATGGGACTTTCTACCACCACCACTCTTGTGTTATTGAGACTAGACTGCTTCCTCTTTACAGTTTTGGAAGGGAAGGTTGCTATGGTTCTTAGACTGCACTGCAAGTAGGAGGGACCCTTCCCCCTCCTTCAGGGTCTTATTAGGCATTTTTTAAAACAATCATGAGGACTAGAATCTTGTTTTAAACAAAATGAAAGCCATATTCTATGACCCTGTAACCTGTGTGCAAAAGCCAGTCTAAAAGTAAGGTGGGTAACAAGAAAGGTCTTGGCTGGTATGTCTGTTACAGAAAGTTCCAGAAAACAGTAAAACCATACCAATATGACACTGTAGACTAATGAAGACTATTTTTTATAAAAAACACTAAGGTATATTCTTTTCTTTTCCAATTTCAACCCACTAATATACAATGTACTACCAAATAATTCAAATAGTAGGGCTTATATATAAAATTTAATCCCCCCCTTCAGGGTCTTATTAGGCATTTTTAAAAACAATCATGAGGACTAGAACCTTGTTTTAAACAACACGAAAGCCGTATTCTATGACCCTGTAACCTGTGTGCAAAAGCCATCTACTTTGCTTTAAATACAGTTATATCAGTCTAAAGGTAAGGTGGGTAACAAGAAAGGTCTTGGCTGGTATGTCTATTACAGAAAGTTCCAGAAAACAGTAAAACCATACCAATATGACACTGTAGACTAATGAAGACTATTTTTTATAAAAAACACTAAGGTATATTCTTTTCTTTTCCAATTTCAACCCACTAATATACAATGTACTACCAAATAATTCAAATAGTACGGCTTATATAGAAAATTTAAACATAAGTTAAAGAAACACAACTGTGTAGTTATTCAAAGTCCAAAATATCCCAATGGGGAAGATCACCATCCTGAATCTATACTGCAGAATGCTGGAATTCTGTAAAAGATATATATATACAGATTGATTTTCCTTTATCCTATATCCTATGATTTGATGTAACATTGTGATAAGAGCAATTCTTTGATAGTACATTGTATATTAGTGGGTTGAAATGTGAAAAGAAAACACCATATAGTGTTTTTTATAAAAATGGCCTTTATTGGTCTACAGCGTCATATTGGTATGGTTTTACATTTTTCTGGTTGTATCTTATTGAACTGTGACCCCTTCTGTGATTGATAATGTTACAGAAGGTTCCCCATCAGGATCCAGAGTCCCTTTTAAAAGCATAATACTGTTGTTTCTATCAATGTCTTTGTTCCCTTCTGCAGACGAATGTTTCCACAATGCAAGATCAGAGTCTCTGGTTTGATCCCTTATGCCAAATATCTAATGCTTGTAGACTTTGTGCCAGTAGACAACTTCAGGTACAAGGTAAATACTTTTTCCCAGTTGGGTGAATATCATCCCATAAATATTTCCCAGATCAGTGCTACCAAAGATCCAATTCTTCTGCATTTAAAGTGGACAGACACAGCTTTCTTACACTACAGAAGGTTTAATGTTAATGTGTAAGAGACAGAGCTATCTCTTGGGTAAGGATTAATTGGGTTGTCCGTCCCTGACCCTGCACTTCTGTATCAACAATGACAGAATGACCCAGCTGCATATGATACAAGGATGTTAAAGCTAAAACTCATAAAGGGATGCAGTGGGTAACCTCTTTTGCTGGTGGCCATTTTGGCCTTGCAACCATGTAATTTATTTATTTCTCAGGCTGGAAATAAATGCTGGCCTAGAATTATCTTAGCAAGCCATTCATTCTGCACCCCTGCCCTTTATTGGCTACATGTCTCGCAACACATCTTGGTCCTTCCCCCCCCAGTGGAACAAGGACCAATGGGAAGTGGCTGGCAAAGCAGAGCCTCAGCTCCCCCGTCGGACGTACGTGCACCCTGACTCTCCTGCCCTGGGCAGCCACTGGATGAAGGAACCCATCTCCTTTCAGAAGCTCAAACTGACCAACAACACCTTGGACCAGCAGGGCCACGTAAGCTGAGATCTGGAATGAGGTCTTAGGTTAAACGGTGGGGGGACAGGGCCTGGGCAGAAAAGCCAACAGCCCTCCTCCCTACTTCCATAGAGGAAAGGGGGGGGCACAAGACTCATGGAAATAGACAGGAGAGGGTGGCTACCTTTCCACTCCATGGCCTAACGTGACACCCCAAATCCTGCACCTAAGGCCACCCTTTGTGTCCAGCGGCAGTTAAGATTTCCTCACAACCGCAGCATCTGTGGGCTGTGCCATGCTAAGTGGGGGGTGTTCTTGGCTGAGAGTTCTCTTATACAAGCCTTCCCATCCCACCCCTTTGTTCAGAACCTCTCCAGAAAATGCCCCTGGAAAGACCTTCTGACTCTCTCATTCCTTGATTAATGGCTTTTGCTTTCTCTACATTGCATATATTGGATCCTCAGCACTCCTCCTGGCTCTGTTTTTTTGGGGTGTGTGTGTTTATTTGTTTTTGCACACAAACCAGTCTTCTTCTCCAGCCCTCCTTTAAGCAAAGCTCTGCCCAAACCCCTGTAACCCACTTGCCCTTTTTGGGCTCAGGGTTCTTTTGTATCAAGGCTCCATCCTGGACCACTTACACCTTTCTTCAAAAGTGCCTCTGAGGACAAGTATTTGTCTCCTCACAAAGGGAACAAGACTTGCCCAGCAGAAAGTTTTCTTCTGTCCTTCGGCTACTAGCTGGCCCACCCCTGAGCTATTGACTGGCTAGGTCTCTGCCCACTCACATACAGTAGATGCTAAGTAAAGTGACCCGTGAGTGCCTCTCTGCTTCCAAAAATGGGAGAGCTGGTATCCTCTGACAACTCTTCCCAGGAGGAAAAGGACCCATTTGCCTCCTTGGGCACTTTCCCCACCAGCGAGCAAGGCTGTTGTGCTTGCCCGGAAGGCGGTCTGGAGGTGAGACCTCTGTGTGCAGCTTTATCTCTCTTCCCTTCCAGACTGTCCTCCACTCGATGCACCGCTACAAGCCTCGCTTCCACGTCATGCAGGCAGACGACCCCTTCAGCGCCCGCTGGAGCCCCTTCCAGACATTCAGCTTTCCAGAGACAGTCTTCACCTCTGTCACGGCATACCAAAATGAGAAGGTGTGTGTGCGTATAGCCCATGCTGGTCTTCTGCATGAGCTCCCCTCGTATATACAAAATGGAGAGAGGCAGGAGGGTGGTCAGTTTCCCTGCTTACAGGCTGAGGGGGAGGGGGCTGTGGCTCAGTGGTAGAGCATCTGCTTGGTCCAATCCCTGGTCCAATCCATGGCATCTCCAGTTAAAAGGATCAGGTAATAGGTGATGTGAAAGACCTCCATCTGTGAGCCTAGAGAGCCAATACCAGTCTGGGTAAATAATACTGACCTTGATGGACCAGTGGATTGATTCAGTGTAAGGCAGCTTCATGCATTGACATAATGGATACTCTATAATGAATGAGGCTGCGCCCTGGCCTGCCTCCCACCTCATGCAGTGTTGATATAGCACACGCCATCTTGTTTATATTTATTTCAGTATTTAAACATTTATAGCCTGCTTTTTCTTGGTGGCTCGAGGCAGCTCAGAAATCCAAATTTAAAACATACAAAATACAATATTTCCAATATCCCCCTTTTAAAAAGGCCCGTGGCCCGTACTCTGTTAAAAGCCTTAACACATAAAATGGCCTGGCAGTGCTTCCTAAAGACCTTGGAGACACCCCACACCCCATATTCCTTAGGGAGCCTGTTCCGTCGGGTGACAGCAACCACAGAGAAAGCATTGGCTCCTGTCAATGCCAGGCAGGCTATCTTGTGCAGGAACACAGGCAGTAGGTGGCAATCTGGGGACCGTAGTTGGTGCACGGGCATATACAGGGAGAGATGGTCTTTTAGGCTGCTTCTCTTTTCCCAGTTTAACTCCTGTGTTTAAAATGGGCAGTGGGCGTACTCTGTTGGAAGCTTGTGCTCAAATCTTCAGCAATTTGAAGCCCTGTGGATAGACTCAGATACATCAATGTGCTCAAACCATTGCTGATGTGGCAGTCATTTTAATCTTTGGGCATGGCACTTGAATCCTGCCAGCAGAAAACCGGACACAACCCTCCTTTCCGCTAGATGTGGCCCTCTCCAGTTGCCTTATGACAAAACTGTACCATCAGCCCCTTCTGCTAGAAACTGGTGGCTCAGAGCATTCCAGGTCCCAAGTTCAATCCCTGGCATCTCCAGTTAAAAGAATCAGATAAGAAACAATGTGAAACCTTGGAGAGAACATAAGAAGAGCCCCGCTGGATCAGACCAGTGGTCCATTTAGTCCAGCATTGTGTCTCACACAGTGGCCAACCAGTTCCTCTGGAGGGCCAACCACAGGGCATAGAGGCTGAGAAGAGCTCCGTTCTTAAACCGAGGTGCATATACAGTATGGGTGCAGAAAGGATACCAGCTCCATAGGGACTGAAGATTAGTGGTATAGGATCTGTAAGAGGTCTCTGGTTCAATCCCTTAAGAAGATCTCAGTAGCACATGAGACCTCCACTGAGTCCCTGGACAGCTGTTGCCAATCCAAGCAGACCACACTGAGTTAGGAGGGCCAACAAACTGACTTGGTGAGGCAGCTCCATGTATGTTCAACGTTCAAGCAGACAGATGCCTATGGGTTCTGACTCTGCCTTGTTCTTTCTTTCGAGATCACAAAACTGAAGATCTACAACAATCCATTTGCAAAAGGCTTCCGAGAACATGGGAGGAACACACGCAGGTAACAGCCATGCTGTTGTGCAGCTCCTATTTGCTCCCTTGGGGATTCTCCTTAGGTCTCCATCAACACCCTTCATGGTGGTAATATCTTCCCTCCCGTTTGCCTCTTGCTGGGCCCCTTTTGGGGAGCCCTGCCTGCTGTATTTCAGGGTCTAGTATACCTATTTACTGGTTGCCAAGGGGCAGATTTTCCTACCCACTTCCCTGTATAACAATATTGTGGGCAGCCCTATGGTAGCTTTGCCTGTGTCCTGGACTGGTTCCCTTTGCTTTTATACTATCAGGGCCTTGGAGGTCCACAATCCAGACCTAAGCCTTGCCAGATTTCTAGTATTTGGTGCTTTTTCCTCAGGGAGGGGCGAAGCCAGAAGACCAGTCCGGCCAAAAGTCAGAAGAGAGCACTGATGGAAGAACCCAAACCTGATGCAGAACTGGGTAATATTATCAAAGCAACAAACCAGAAAGGCATTGGGTAGATATGCCTGAGAGAACCCTGTCCCCCACCCTTTCATCTGCCATGGCTTCTGGGCCCAACCATCAGATGTAATGCAACCTCGCTTATAACCAATTTGTTGGTGCTATTTATTTTGTCCCATCTTGCAGTGGTCTGGCCCCATTGAGGGCTGGATGCATGATTGGGGAGAAGAAGGTGGGGAGAAGATGGATATCATATTTTTCTTACTCATATACTCATCACCATTCTGCGCCAATCAAGTAACTTATATACTGTCAATTTCTATTCCTGTGTTCAGTTCTTGCAGATAAATTATTTCACTTGCAAATGAATCTGCATTTGTAAAAGCAGGTCTGTTAACACAGATGAACACTGTAATATTTTCCATTGTTTTTTAAAGACCCCAAGTCATGCTTTTGCACTTGTTCTGCATCTGTAAATCTAACTTGGAACAGGGCAGGGATCAGAGCTCCAAGGGCTACATCACGAAATCAACACCAGTAGCAAAAGTCAGAGCGAGAGATGCTTCTGGGGTGGGAGACGCCACGAAGGCCAGTCTAAAGGGCCATGAGTGACCTTCAGAGCCCAAGATGACCAGCCAGTCCCTGCCCACTGATGGAGTAATTTCATTCGCCAAATTTTCTCTATATAACCTATATTATGAATTCACAATGGAAGTCACTCCAAGTTTCCTTTCTATTACCAAATTGATTCTACAATGTTTCTACAGTTTCTAGTTGCCAAGGTAATCCAAATTCAGATCTAAGAAAATCTGGATTAGGAATCCTGTGCTTCTTATTTTGTTCAGTGTTTTTGCACAATTAATCCTGGGTTTCTTGTTCAGAGTACATGCGCACACCAGGATCTGTGCAGACTGTCTTAAGATACACCCCCATCTACTTGAAATTTAATTCAATCTCTTCCTACCCCCATCAGTTTCTTTCAACAGGCACAATTTGCAAAACTTTCAAATATATTCTTGTAGCTGTAAGAGCTGGGATATTGTTGTGGGGCGTAGTTGAGCAAGTGGGGTGAGAAAAGTGAAGGCACAAGCCACTGCCATCTTTGCTCCAGGTGATTCTTGTTTTCCTGCACTTCTGTGGAACCGCAGTGCTCTGGCAGGGCCACTCAAGTGGGAGCTTTCTGAGGGAAAGCAGCAGAAGCAGGTTTGCTGGGCTCTTCCTTGCTAGATGAAACTCACTGCCTGGAACTATGGGAAAGGCAGGGTATATTTTATTAATAAGCGGTGTTGGACTCTGCGGCTGTGGCTACAAGCAGACTGGTGTCCTTTCTCTCCTATTGTCCTCGCTCTTTGTCATCTTTTCTGCCAGACTTAGAGAGGAGTGAAAACATGGCGGTGAAGGAAGAGAGCCATGTCATGTCAGTTAGTAGCAGCTGCCCCTTCTGGGTCTCAGAGCCAAACAGCACCCACACCATCCCTACAGAATCTCCAGATCCAGGGGAGCACACAGAACCGCCTGCCCAAGAACAGCATGTGCCAACACCACTTTCATCCTCCCAGGCATACAGGTAAGAATGAGCAGGGCACTTCTGGATGGGGGGTGGGGGTGGTGATGGGGATGGAATCGCCACAATGGTGGAATTACAAGGATTTGGCCAGTCTACTTTACAGGTAATAGTCTTCTTTAAAGACATCTCATAGCACTTTGCGAGAAATATTGAGCAGAGACCCACAAACTGCCCTACTGGTTTCTGTGACTCCATAAGCCTGGGACTTGTTTATAACAGGGTTCTTCTGAAACTAGCTTTGTGGAGCAACATGGGTTTAGGACAGAGCTAGTGAAAGAGGAGCTGCGGTGGCTCAAGTGGTTAAGACACTGAACTGCAGGCTGTGGAAGGTCAGTAGTTCAGCAGTTCGAGGCCTGGGTGCCGCATGATGGAGTGAGCTCCCGTCTCTAGTTCCAGCTCCTGCCAACCTAGCAGTTCGAAAGCAAGAAATTGCAAGTAGATAAATAGGTACCACTTTGGAGGGAAGGTAACAGCGTTCCATGCGCCTTGGTGTTTAGTCATGCCGGCCACATGACCACGGAAACGTCTTCGGACAGCACTGGCTCTTCGGCTTTGAAACGGAGATGAGCACCGCAACCCTAGAGTCGGATTCGACTGGCTTTCGAGCAAGGGAACCTGAACCTTTACTAGTGAAAGGGCACTCATTTTCTTTCCTGCGACCCCCTGCCTATTCTGGCCATCTCTAATCCTATTACAGCTTCTTCCCCTTTTGTCTTCAACTGTTGCTCCTCAGCCACCTGTCCAACACTCTGCTACCCAAATCTCACCTGTTGTTCTGCCCATTCAACACCCCTTCTTATATCCCTGCAATGGCCAGCTACTCCCACATCCAGCAGAACCCCCTCTCAGACTTTCAGAGCTTCCACGACTCTTCCTTCTCATGTCCTGCTACATCTCTGCTCCTCCACCCCCAGCTCTCCACAAGTCTCCTGCTCCCTCCAATAATTCTGCCATTTAAGCTTCAAACAGCACCCCCACCCAAATACCTATCTAATACTGCCTCATCCACTTCCCTATAATCCCTTTTAAAAGCAACCTTTTCTGTTAAGTTTTTGACACATCCCTATTTCCCACCCCTCTCAGCCTTGTCTTCTGTATCACGCACACTGAGGGCACTGCATGTACAAGTATTAATAATAACAATCCTGGCAGACCTTTCCTGCTAAAAACAAACAACACACTTGGGACTGAAATCAGAAGAACGTAGAGGATCCCGAGATGGTAGGACGCATCAGTGAGTTGTTGACAAGAGCCAATGGAGACGAGAAGAGGGCTAGAGGGGGAAAGGCATGGTCCTATTTGGAAACCTCACTGGGACATCAGTGGCCTGGAGATCCAGGGTACTGACCAGGTGTGGTATTTTGAAGGACAGGCACAGGAAGTTACCCATGTCTCTGATTGCCTTGTTCCAAACAGAGGCAATTTGGTCCTACAGTTTCCTGCCTCAAGGACCCCATTTCAGTTTCATTATTTTTTATTTTTAATCTCCACAGGAGTAAACTCCTATCTTTATCTCATCTCCCCTCTTCTATTTAGGTCCCATGAGATGGATGATAGTCCACTGCCAGCCCCTCTCCAGGACATCATTTCCCTAAATGAGTTTCGGGCCAGACCTCAGACATTGGACTTAGCCATGGTTCCTGAGCAGGATGCCAAGCAGCTTCCAGAAGGCTTCACCAATCTGCCACCACTTTCCATCCCTTTTCCACCTCCACAAGATTACTCTGGGATTGCTGGTACAGCCGTAGATCCTGCTGGGAAACCAGGACTCCGAAGGCCTATGTACAGCCCCTATGCCCCTGATCAAAACCTCAGCCAGTGGATGGTTCCTCCACCGGCCCAATATAGGGCTGTAACCTATTCTGCATTCCCCACAGACTACAGTACCCAGGCTGCCTCAGGACCTGCCCATGGCAGCATGGCAGACTGGGGGCAATACTCTTTGTTCCCCTATGCCTGCTGGTAAAGGGGGAGGAGGCAAGTTCATCCTGGGAGAAATGGCAGCCATCCTGGAACCTGCCGTAGACCAGCTGTAGAAGTGTTACAGCTCACGTAAACTCTCTGCATCAGCTCCATCCCACGCACTGGCGGGTGTCAATCTGGAACTTATGCTAGCCGGTATAGTTCAGCTCTCAATAAAATGACAGAATATTGCAGAGCTCTGTCTTTGTTTTTGCAATATGACAATGCAGCAGGCAACTTCCTTTTGCTTCCTTATTAGAGAGGAGGGACTTTGATATCCTGCTTTTCTTCCTCCCTGTATTTTCTGATTTATTTATTTATTTCAATTTATATCCCGCCTTGCCAGGCAAACTTTTCTGCTCTCTTTATATATAACCCCATCAAGACAACCCTATCTAAATTGGGGAATTCTGCATTACAATTGGAGGCTGCTATTGAGCAGAAATAAGACCACGTTCATTATGTCTTTGTCTGTCCCATGTCTTTTGCTGCATACCTCAGTGACTTGTAAGAAACTTGGTGCGTCAGACTTTCATAAGAAAATACTAGGACAGGAGCAAAACTCTGAATCACCTGTTACTTCTCATGAAATTAAGAGGATAGTAATAGGTTCTCATACTTTCCTGCTTTTTTCTTACACAAACTTAAAAATCTTCACCAACAGATGAACACTGGGGTGGTCTGAATTAGAAAATTCTGAGACTCAAGATCTAGGATCAGTCTAGGATCTGGAAGACCCAGGTGCAAATCCTCACTCTACCATGGAAACTTGCTGGGTAACCTTGGGCTAGTCACACACTCGGCCTGACCTACCTCACAGGGGCAATGTGAATGAGATGAGCTTCTTTAGGACCCATTCGGGAGAAAAATGAAGTAAAATAGGAGGAAATCCTGTAATTTATATGAAATGTTCAGACATTTCAAAGGGAGATGTGAAGAACTGACATGACCTGGAGAAAACGACAATGCAAGTGTTGCAGCACAAGTAAGCAGTCAGCCTTACCTTTAGAAGGACCTGTAGCTCTACAAAAAGTATGTATTTGAACAGAATTTTAAGCAGAGCAGCAGCCCCGAGCTCTGAGCAGCATTCTGTCAAAGCACTGCCCCAAATCCTTCAGCTCTCATAATCAGTCTAGGAAGACGGGAAACAACTGTGTCACCCACCGTGGCAAACCAGAGTGTGTACAGACACACTCTTCCCCATGACTCTGCAGCAACAAAATAATGTGCATTCTTTTGTTGCTTTAACATTCCTTTATGACAAGGATATTTACAGTGTGCTTTCTCTCATGTTCTACGTCTCTTCATCCTCTCTCTCACTAATCCTTACCGCGGCACTCAGCGGCACAAAAAGTAGATCCAGCAATACAAACAGGAATCTGTCTATTCCCTTAACTGCCCTCACCAGAGACCAGCTCTTTCCTGCTGCCCCCTTTTCTGCAGCCTGGGCTGCAACACTTGGTACAGCCTACTGAGCCGACGAGCACATCTCGGCTTTACTAGGTTTTTATCTCACCCTTTCTCTGGAAACTCAGGGTGGTGGTATGCTCCAAGCCATGGTGATTTGAACCTGGGGCTCCTGGGTTCACAACGGCTCTAGCGGACGGACTTCAATGAAGACCAGGATTTCTGTTGCTACAGCAAGTCTTCAGATCAGGAAGGAAGTGAGCACTAAAGACGACAAATGCTGCTCCAAGGTGATGTATGTTTTATTGAGAATATACAAACTGGGCACTGAACACTGGCTTGATGACAGGACCGACAGCAAAGTAAATTAAGACAATGAAAAGGCACTAATCTTAAGAAAGACACTTCATGTGTTCTAAGAATATAGTTAATACTGTTAAATTTTGTAACACAAGGAAAAAAAAAACCAAAACCAAAACACGCTATGATGATCCCCCAAATAAGACAAAGAATAATACGTTATTGCCTGAAATTCAAATGATAACCTCAGTTACATAAAACTGTTTGCACAGTAAAGACTGTCTTAAGAACAAGGCCACCTTTCCCTCTGTAAAAATAAACACATTTACTAGTTCTGGACATGCTTGCATTTAGTAACACAAAGTAGGAAAACAAGACAGTTTTAACAGCTAGTCAGAACTTTCTACTGGTCCCACACAGGAGGCCTGCAGTTGTGTGTCCTGTCTCACTGGAGATGCTGGAGAACCCTACTACAAACAGAAAGGACAGCCTACTCAGTCCCAGAATGTTAATTACACAATACAAAAAAAATTATTGCAGGCACATGAAATGGCACAGAGAATGCTTTCGATCCCTTTACAAAAATAGGGGCTGGCCCCTCCAAAACCCCCAACCAAAACAGGATATTCCCTTTTATGTACTCCTGCCTGATTTGTAAACAATCCTGATTTCTTTTAGGGCTTTAGCCAGCGGTAGCAGTTCCCACTCCCCTCTTGCTTAGTGGCACTAACTGGTACAGCAGGAGTGGCAAACTTTCCAAAGGCTCTTTCTTTGACAGCAGAAATTTATGCCAATTACCAATTTGAACCCAATCCCACATATGTTTACTAGGGAGCAAGTCCCACTGATCTCAATGGCTCCTGCTTCTGAGTAAACATACTAAGGACTGCACTACAAGGCTTTTAACACCCATATAATAATGCATAGACTGAAGAGCTCTCAGGATTACCTCTGAGACACAGCACAGGTATACGCAAACAGCAAGGATAGCCTTAATCCCATCCTCGGTAACCCTACAAACCAGAGCAAATGCAGCATTTCTTTTAAAAAGTAAAATAGTGAAGGAAACAGTGATGTGAATTTTGTCAGTGATCAATTTAGTGTGCTACTCTTAAGCATCACTGATTAGCCCTGAAGCAGGCCACTTACATGTGAGCTTCAGAGGAATCTGAAGCTCGACTGTGAAAACCATTGGGAACACCTGACAACTTTGGCTTGTGATCTTGGGAGCAGTGTTCCCTCTAAGCTGAGTTTGTGTGAGCTGGCTCACACACTGTCTTAGCTCAGGAAGGATGGCTCCAGAGCAAACTGATTTATGCAGTAGCCAAATCGCTCGCTCACAACTTTAATGCCAGTAGCTCAGAAAGTAGAATGTTTGCTCACAAGACTCCACAGCTTAGAGGGAGTATTGCTTGGGAGTAGCTCAACTCTCACTTGCATAGATGCCTCTTTTATTTTTTTGCAATCCTAAAATGGGTTTAGCAGAGGATTCTGGATCAAGTATCTATCTGGCAGAAGGAAGCATGTCTGGAAAGCACCAGGACCAAGTGGGCAAGTTAAAAAGCATCCACACAGTATTTTCAAGGAGGGTCACACAGCATCACCGGAAGTGAGTGTTGGGGTCAGCTGTGTAGCAGGATTATCTTATGGCCGACTGATTCTTAGTGCAGCTTAAATATTCATAATGCAAAGCTCAGTAGTACTATTCTGCAGTAACAAGACAAATCAACAGGAACACCTGGGAGTTCTAGTGAATAGCTGCAGAACTTTCCATTACAGAAGGCAGAAGGTCTCTACCCCTAAGGCGGAAATACTTTCCGGAGCATTGAGGCTAGTCTAATTCACAGTACACTTATTTGGCAGTAAAACTGCTCTCTCTTTTGCTGAGAGAGCTTTCTCCAGACCAGTAGCCACAGTTTTAAAAGTCAACAAACTGAAACACTTTTGAGACTTGAATGTGTTCAGTTCTGAATTCTTTGCTGAAACTGCACGCCATCAGCGCCTTTCGTCCTCAAATTAAGGCACTTTAACACTGAGTTGAACCTGGGGCTCAAGTCCAAAATCCTTAAAAGATTTAAAAATGAGCATTTAGGGAGTCGATTCCTCAACTGCCAATTCAACTTTCTGCATTTTCTATTCCTGGTTACAATGTTTAACACCTAAAGCAAAGAAGCTACAGTTTGGTTAACACAGCAGGGCACAGAAGAGTTAAAATGTCTAAGTGATACCTTTTAATTTTTATCTGTATTCTTGATTAGTGATTATCAATGCTTGGTGAGGAATTTTGTTTTTGTTTTTAAAGAGGCAGAAAGTGCCATTTCACCCAAGCTTTTGTGTATGGTGTGAGAATTAAAGTGTTCTAAGATCTCGTTTAAAAGTCTAGGGACCATTAAAAAAGTTATTAAAACCAACTGTCTTCAGTGATTTTGCAAACAATCCCTCAATGAAAGTTTAAATGCTGGATTTTAGGCAGGGATGTGACAAACTGACATGTCTGCTGTCACTTATAAATAAAAGCCTCTACTGTGGTGCAATACTTTAAAATGATGCTTTGCTGTCATTCCAAAGTTGTTTCTAGGTTTTATGGTTGTTTATGACAAAGTTGTTTATGACAAACTCATAAAAAAGTGTCTTGTTAACACAAACTCCAATTATATAGCCTAGAGATTATTATTCCAAATGCATTGCTGCTTTAACAGTTTCTTCTCTCTAAAACCAAGTCTTTCCTCCTGCAGAGGGAAAAATAAAATAGAATTTTTGTCATCGTCACTCCGTATTGGTAGAGATGCTTAGAATTTGCCTTCAGAGTTGACTGTTGTTTGTGGATGCCTCGGCAGCAATTGCTGATGTTTTGCCCCCAGCTGCTCGGGGGGTGGGTGGGTACCACTTATCTTCTGCAGCTTAAGGTCCAAAATTCTTCTAGGAGTGACTAAATTTTGAATGATGCAACTGTCCATATGAGCACCAACAAGCAACTTCAGCTGTATGCATTCCAAACAAATGACAGGGCTGTCAAATCAGAACAACTGGGAAATAGGCAACTGGCTATGCTTACCACACACCATTAACAGTCATCATCCCACTTCAAACGATGCTCGTGATAGCCAGGAAAATGAAGCAGCAATGCAGAAATTGGCCAATGTGAATCACTCGTTTTCATCTGGATTCTGAGGGTCAATTATTTTGACATGTGTGAAAGGGAAAAGACCTTTCCGACCATTGACTTCACCTTCCCACTGACCATTTATATTCATCCTTGTGACCTTCACAATATCACCAACCTGCAAAATAATAAAAAAAAAATCATCTGAAAGGAAATTATTTCAAATAACATTATTATTTCAGCTGAAGAGAAATGTCCTACACTTGGGATTACTGAATTATTAGACAAAGGAAACTTCATTAGCAAGGACTTTTAGATTTTTCCACAGACCTGCATTTAGAGATGTAAAGGCCTGGGAAAGTTAGCAAGGGCACTTTTCGCCTATCCCCCTGCTGCCCCAGACTTTACTATTTTTCAAGTTGAAAAACTGAGACATTTGGGGGAGCACTTAAAAAACCTTCTGTGCAATATTTTCTCTTTTGGAGATATGATTCTGAAGACAATGTTTTTCTTTCTGAAAATACACAGCATGAAAAAGGCTGAACATTTTTTCTAGTTTTTTAATGGATTTTTATTTTTGAATGAGTGATATACCTTTTTAAGACAAAGCTTTACTCAAAATTAAAAATGTCATGAAAAATTTCATGTAAGACAGTCTACAGCATTAGATGATAATACCTCTGCATACTGAAGACATATTCAACATAGTTTTGTTTCAATGTAACAATTAATATGCTATGATGTCCTTAATGACAATACACTACTAAAAGAATCCAGTGTTTCTGATACCTAGATCAGGGGTCCCCAACTCTGCTATGCCTGCAGGAAACTTTGGAATTTTAAGAGGGGGTGTTGGGAGCTACCCCAAAATGGTTCCCACAAGAGGCAGAACTGAGCCCAATATGGCTGCCAAAGGAGGCAGAGCCAAACTCAGTGCCTTCCTCCTCACACTGCAAAAGACTCACATGGCAACCATGCTGAGCGCATAAAAATGTCTTATTCAGAGGGAAGCCACTGATTTGCCAAGCTTGGCATATTATATGTAGGTTGATTAGCAGCATGGTCTAACCTGTGGGTGCCCAACCCTTTTAAGCCTCCAGGAACTTTTGGAATGCTGACACAGGATGGTGGGTGCAATTACAAAATGGCTGCCACAGGAGGTGGAGCCAACCACAAAATGTCAGGAAGTGAAGCTGTATACAAGTCCGAGAGGTTGTGCACAAGTCTTCAACATTTCAGCCAGAATCTCCATTTAACAAGATGTCTTTTAAAATGAACGCAGTGTTTGAAAATATTTTCTTGCATATGCATTGCCACAAAATAACTACACTTATCATGCTAGGTAAGAAACCTGCACCTTGCGGTACCTGTCTTCATTCTGCAGGCATCTGACCTGGCTACCTGATTAACATGAGCTGGGCAAAAGTGCCACCTAGCCCCTCCCATATTCTAAAAACGCTTGGTGGACACCAGGAAAGGTACTAATGGGCACCACTGGTCTAGCCACGGGGAGGCCCTCAAGCTTGGAGAAGGAGAGGATGGGCTTGAAGATATCTCCCCTCATGCAATAGGCCCAGGTCCCTGAACTCCAAGACTAAATCAAAGCTTCCTCTTTGTTTGCAGAAGAGCTCACAGCAACAGTCAGTCAAGTCACAAACTTCCCTCTCTGCCTCCTTTTATTTTACAATGAACACATGAAGCAGCCTTATACTGAGTAAAAACCACTGGTCTATCAAGGTCAGAACTGTCTCTGCTCTGACTGGTGAAAATTCTTGGCAACAATTGTATTTAGTGACATTCACATTATTTAAATTTCTCTCAGGTTTCCCATATTAGTGAGGCGTTTGATAGTGGTAGGGAGTTCTAAAAAACCATTTCCTGTAAAAAAATTTTTTATAAAAGCTTGTTTCTCCGAGAAGGGGAATAAGAAAAAGTTGAAGGCAAGCCCAGGCCAGTCGTCCCACTCCTCCAGTGGCGGTTCCTGCATCTGTTGAAAGTCTGTTCTAATGAGTGAGGGCAGTGAATAACAAGCAGTGCCTTACAATGGCTCCAGCCACTCTTGGCACATGCCAGGAGAAGAAGAATCTACATGGCGGCCACAGGAGCCATGTTGAGGCCCCTTGGCCTAGATTAAAATCAGTGCTCCTTTAAAATTACTACAGACTGAAAAATGGTATCTGTATTTATTTATTTAATTCATTTATTTATTTTGTACCCCGCCCTCCCTGCCGAAGTGGCTCAGGGTGGCTAACAAGGCCATCTGGCACCATAAAACCGAGCTCCTTAGCAGAGCTGAGCTAAGCATGTTAACAAAGAATGGCTGTCCTCAATTATGTGACAACTCCTGGTACAGTGAGCAATTCGTGAGACTTCAATTCCATGCATATTTCAAAGTAAACCTTTTTAGATATGGTTGTTAGAGAGCTTCCTATTTAGAAATAAATGGTTCCACAGCTATGTCATTCACAAGGATATCTGGCTAATGATGGGAAAGCACATTTTCTTCCCCTGGCGGAAGTGTAACACAGAGGACAATTAAGACTATCCTTTAGGAATACACCCAATGCCTCCATTTTTTGGAGGTCGAATTTAGAAGGGACCAAGTCCTACTGTAAGACTTGGTACTACTCACGTTTAATTCATGAAAGTAATGTAGCTAGAAGATGGGGCAGTTGTTGCACCACATGGTGTGTTGGGAAGCATGTTCTGCAGACCATTAAGTTTGCCAACAACGAACACCATCTATCTGAGTCACAGAGCTGCCTGAGTACCCATTGCCTTGACTGCAGCCATTATTTCAGGATTTTTTTCAGTGGCCAGAGGTAAGAACTCCAGACGTACAATAATCTAAATATTAAACATGTTGATATGTTCATCCAGCCCTGTGCAGAACTTGTGCCTAAAAACCAGGGGCTACTAGTCATTGGTCTACACATATAGTAGAATGAGAAAGCAGGGTACTGAGGAGGCAGGAGAGATTGCAATCAGAACGTAAGTGGGGGAACCACATCTTTACTTTGCCAAACTGCAAAATTATCTCTTTGGTGTGTTAACACTTTGACAAAGTACTTTGTTTTGGAAGAACAGCTTACTTTTAATTGGATATGGCTCAATGACCTTTCAGATACTCAACTTATTAAACTACGTTGGATCCCATGCGAGCGTTTTATAAAGAGAACTGTAATGAGTTATTTCAATGTCAAGGCCGATGAATGCAATTTAAATGGGGGGGAAGGGAGACAAGAAAATGCAGCTTCAGTCTATGAGATGAGATCAATTAAAGAGATGGAATACCTTCGCTAGCATCTCTGACACAGAGAAGATGCAGAAAGGACAGCACAGAATCTTGGTGTTCAGTCAGCTAGTCCCCACCCAAATGATAAATATTTTGCACATTTGGGGCAATTTGCCCTTTTCTTAACATGCCACGTGGATGGCAGAGTCCAGGAAGGCAGAACTCTTGAAAAAGGACAGTGACTAGGTTACATGCACACGCCTGGAAGAGTGTTTGGCACACACCACTCCCTCTTAAACTGGGCTTGCTTGTTCACCGACAAGCCTCGCCCCCTCAGCCCCAACTGCCTAAACTGCAAGATTAAGCTACAGCCAAAAACCTAACAAGCCCTACTGAAACAAACAGGAGCTGTACAACAAAATATCTGTGCTCCAGCACAATCCCCATTAATTTTAATGGGGCGTGTGAAGGAGAACATCATATTGGATTGTGACCTACATAACCAATTTGTTTTCAAAATTCCATGAAGCCCTTGCAGTTCAGACTCATTGGAAGCAGCAAACATGATGAAAACATTCTTGACACAACTGAGCCCAAGGGCAGCAAAGTATTTACAGGTTTCAGCTCTTCAAGCTACCTATTTGACGGGCTATAGATAGCCATCAGAAACTTCAATTAGTTCATACTGTCCAGGATTAACCATTAGGATCCAGCTGCATTGGCATTTGTGGAAGAACGTGCCTGCTCTGGCCTGCATACCCTGTTTCTGACCTGCCCTCCAAGGTGGTTTCTCCACACCTGGAGGGGCTTTTCTTCCACTCTCAGGATAGCCCACCACCACCTGATCTTTGTTGGGATTTCCCACTGGGAGGAGGAAATGTTTACAAGCATACCTTTAACACAGCACCAGGTTGAGCAAGGAATAAAAAAGAAATTGGTAAAAACACAAATCCTCTGTCCCTATCAGTTGTTAAAATATAGGGCAGGCTCTTTAGCACAGATGTTCTAGTTCTCTACAACGTTACCATTACCTTGAAGTTCAGTTCTCCAGATGAGCACCTGGTCAAAACAGCTGCCTGCTCCAGAGGAGAGGTCTGTATGCACTCCTGGTTGTAGCACCCAAGGAAAAGAGAGTTCCCTCTTATCATCTCTGGTATTTCACCCACTTGACCCCAGTCAGCCCAGGTCAAGGAATCTTTTCCTGTGTCTCCAAAAAGTTCCTTCCTCAAGCCTCTCTAGAATTTGACATTCTGTTCCCTGCCTAAAAGGTGGGGGAGAAGGGGGAAGCTTGACCATTCCCTTGTCTCTAGCTAGACCCATTAGCATTTGTATGAAGGTAGGCTGAGATAAGCCTCTGCCCAGAGAAAGAAAAGGGGAAAAACCTGTTAAAACACAAAATGGAGGCTTTGCTCCTTGCCAACCTCCCAGGCAAAAATGCATTTCTTCATAGCACTCAATTTGTTTCTGGAAACAATTGAAAAGTTTAAGGTGTAGAAACTTATTTGTGATTAGAGAGAAAAATTTAAGAGATACTTAATGGTTAGATTTTCCTATTCTATGTCTGTGTTGTAGATTTGTTTTCTCTTGGTCTTTGTTTGTTTATTTGTTGTCATTATAAAATAAAAGTAATTTTTTTTTAAAGTGCTGGCTTTAAATGTCAATGTCTTAAATGGTTTGGGACCTAAGGACAGCACTCTCTGAAAGTAAAGTAACTGGACACAGATTATGTGGAGAGGTTCTGCTTTGTCTGCCACTATTGCTGGAGGCTTGAAGGGCAGCAGGATACGACAGGGTCTTTTGGTGGTAGCACTGATATTACAGAACAGCTTCTGTCTTTAAGTATCACTGGTATCCACCTTTACAGATTTCAGGAAAGGCAGCTAAAACCAATATGTGCTGTCACGCTTTTGTCTTAATTTAAAGCTGTATTTTTAAAATGCCCTTTAAAATTCCTTGTGTTAAAATGATGCCTGTAATTTTATTCTAGACAGTATTACATACTGTTCCTGCCAACCTAGCAGTTCGAAAGCAAGAAATTGCAAGTAGATAAATAGGTACCACTTCGGTGGGAAGGTAACAGCGTTCCGTGCGCCTTGGTGTTTAGTCATGCCGGCCACATGACCACGGAAACGTCTTCGGACAGCGCTGGCTCTTCGGCTTTGAAACGGAGATGAGCACCGCAACCCTAGAGTCGGATTCGACTGGCTTTCGAGCAAGGGAATCTTTACCTTTACCTTTTTATTACATACTGTAAGACAGTATTACATTGTTGCAAATAGCTCTGATAGCACTGTACACTGAAAGGCAGGATACTAATGGTTTAACAAAACAAAGCAACCAACATTACAAGTATCTGTAACTACCAGGACTCCTCCCTAAAGAAAGAAATTGGAAGTCAATCTGATATTTGACAGAAGTAACCTAACCCTCTTTTGTTCAACTGTGTCAAGAAGTGCTACATATGGGCACATTCTGCTCTACTTACAAGCTTAGACTTAATTGTTTTCCCTGCAATCTAATTGCTCTAAACCCAGGAGAAATTTTGATGTCTTTCTTATAATTAAGGTGAAAGGTGTATCACTTCATAAAAAAACACCAGCCCAAGCTAATATCTGCCACTTATACCTGCTTACAAAAATGTGTTACTTTAACAAGGCCCGCAATGCACACGCATAGTAAAAACTTCCAACTATGTTCTCATAATGCTAACAAAGGAACTTCTAAAGAACTTAAGGTTAAATTGCTTCTTCCATGTTAAGAAATTCCTGTACATGGATAATTAGTTCATCACTTTCCCACTATTTGTCTACTTCATTTATACTGTATTTATTCAAATACAAAATAATATTTTAAAACTTTTTTGCAGCTTTTTAAGAAGGGGGAGCCATCTTAAATCCAGATACACATTTATACAAATACTGCGCCCATGCAGAGAGGCAAGAGTGCATGCTGCTCAAATTACACAGGCTGGATGTGCTGGCAATGCCCTTTTTTCCTTAATGCTTTCTGGCCAAGTACATAGCTATGACAATCATTTTTAAAAACATTCAAGAAACTTTTGAAGAAATCTAACCAAGCCATCTGTCCAACTGATGCCTCACTCATCACTCCAAACATATGGCCACAACATGAGCTTCTTAATTGTATTCCCACTCCATTTTAAGCATCAAATCCAACCACAATACAGGCAGCACAGAAATGTCACTGTGCAGTCCAACAGATGGAAGAGATAGGAATATGAATACTGCTGGTTGACTGGGTTTAAGACTACAGTAAGACACCAAGCCCATAGTACCTCTTCAACAAATAGTTCAACAAATATATATTTTGCAGGCAGCTGCTTAGAGGAAACATAGATGGCTGTTGGAACTAGCTGTGTATGGCATGGTATGTTATTTGGACTCTGTGTTCACAGAATGCTATTTTAATTTCATTTGGCCTCTTATCCCCCATACTATTTAATTGCTTAGAATGTGAGACGCATAGAGGAAGAATTAATATTCACATTTGAAAAAAATTCTGAAAGCCACCCACAGGATATAAATCTAGTATGTGAACAAAATGAAAGTATGATCAGGTTTGTATTTACAGGCCCACTAAAATCACAGAATATAGAAATGGCTAAAAAAATGACAAACAAATTGTTGCCTCTTAAAGTTGTATTAAACAGCCTCAATAAAACGTCAGCTGAAAAACTTACCTCTAATGCCAAGGCAGTCTTGTCATAAGCACATGGAACTCTCTTTTGAATCGCTTTGGCATAGACTGGTCCATTCTGTGTTGATGGAAGTGGGTTGATCACTGCCCCAGGAGCACTAGATACATTGGGAAGAGGATTTGTGGTCTGAGGCTGAGCATAAGCATGGGCAGGTTCAGGAATCCCATAGCTGTTGGAATTCCTGTTCCCATGTGGGGAAGATCTCACAAGCTTCTCAACATAAGGAACAGGGATCATCCCAACACGGCCATCTTTGTTTCTGGCACTCCACCACTGTTCTTCTGGCTTGTCTACAATGACCAGTATCTCCCCCTTTTTAAATGGCAAATCTTCTGCATCATTACCAGGGAAGTCATAAAGAGTCCGAACATATTCCACATTCTCTTCCGCAGCAGGCACAGTGGAGGCTGATCCAGATCCCATTAGTGGAGCTGGATACCTGAAGAAAACATGAGTGTTAGCAGAATGTCTTTAATCTTTCAAATCAACTCTGAAAAATGTTTGACACATTTCTTGGTGTCATCTTTTGTGCCTAAGTCAATTTAGTTGTTGACAACAATGTATTAATTTATGTATTCTCCTAGAATCACATTTAGTACAGAACCCTTAAAATGCCACAATACCCAGAACACAAAAGGATTTTGGTGAGTACAATATTTGGGGTTATCTGTTTAAAGATTTTCTTCAGCCTTTCAGAGCATTATTTGATGAGCTGAAATATACATATTTTGGAATTCAGAGTAGTTCTAATCTCTCTTACATCTTGTTAAGTTTGTACCAAATACAAAGTTTAGTGCTGACTCTTGAAGTCTAGAGAACACTTTCCATGGAAAAAGCACAGAGTGAATCTAAGTGCATCCTGATTCATAGCAGACATTCTGGAGCTGAAGGAGTCAGTTCTGAGTGAATTTGAGTCCACATGGATGATCTTCTACTCTTATGTTACATCCTCCAGCTACCTGAGCTCTGCAGTGCTTCCAGCTGTCATACTAGGAATATTTATGACTCCACCAAACAGCAGGGATGTTAATGTTCCATCCTGGAGAGAAACATCAGGCCTCGTAACTATCAGCCCTTACTTTTGGAAAGTCTGGGCACTTGTTACTCAGAAACCAGTCCCACTTAGGTCAATGGCTTTTGCCTGAAAATAATGGTACACACACTACACTCTTGAGCAGTCCCTGGACATACTGTGGCTGATCTAAAAGTTGCTAGTCTTCAACAAAGACAACTTCAAAAGGAGATGCCAGCATGAAGCCGCTGAATTAAAATACATTGTTTTGACATCTTCACAGGACTCAAGAAGGGCCCGAGTATTAAACTGGCAAGTGATAACCTGCTTAGCAAAACTAGGTAAATTATGTTATCTCTAATTACTGTTACTGTAAAAGGTCTCTGTAGTTTTCTTGACTACACTGGAAATCTATAGAATTATGTCTACACTGTACAGCCTGCATTTTACTGCCCCCAGATGCTGCTGTTTAGAACTTTGTTCATTTACTGTCTCAGATATGTTGGTCACGTAAGCACCCACCACCTACATCTGATGAAGCAGTTCATGAAAGCTTATATTAGGACAAAAAAATTATTAGTGTTTACAGTGCCACAACACTCCTCTTTATTAAGCTTTTCAAGTAAATGAACTTGCCTAGGTCCTTGCCTGCACAGAGAGCTAAACACATATACACTGCCCAGTGCTGCTACATTTCTGCCACATGCCTTGTTCACCTCCCTGCCTGTAGCTATCCCAACTGAAAGCAGGTGGTACCTGTGATAAGACAGGTACTGCTATCTTAAATCATGTGCTCTCAATAAATAAATCTCATAGTAAGCCACTTCAGAGGAATAAAACACATTTAAGGGGCATGGGTGACACATGGTCCCTGAAAACAAGATGAAAATGTTTCTTGGCTGCCTTTCTACTTAAGTGTGCCAAACAATTTATAAGGCTAGTGTGCAGCAAAGACACACTGGAGACTCTGTACATTGACTAACTAGCTCACAAGACAGAAAAGGGCATACAAATCTCTGAAATTCCAAAAGAGATAAGCATAAGGCAGCACACACTGAAGAATGCTTTCCATGATGGTATGTGCAGAAAAATGTAAGGCTGTATAAAGACACTAATAGAACAAACTTGGTCTGAAGCAGTAGAACAAATGTAGAGTCCAGTGGTATGAGCTTTCATGTGCAAGGCACACTTTTTCAAATGCACACGAAAGCTCATACCTTGAATAAACCTTTGTTGGTCTTGAAGGTGCCACTGGACTCTAAATTTGTTCTACTGCTTCAGACCAACACGGCTGATCACCTGGATCTAAAGACACTAATGTCATAAGCATAGTGCAGAAAAACGGGAGCCACAAAGATGCAGGTATCCTGCTTTAGGAAGTTTGAAAAGTTTATAAACTGGAAGAAAAATTAAATATGCAGGTATATGGAACTCCAGACACAGGACTGGTAAAACTTATTTACTATGCTAATTTCTATATGATATCCGCTATAAACACATTTAAGTGAGTATGTCCCCGGACACATTTTCACATTTTTAGAATTGTATTTGTTGTTTTCAGGAAGAAGAGATTGGATTTATACCCTGCCCTTCACTACCAGAAGGTGTCTCAGAGCGGCTTACACACTCCTTTCCCTTCCCCTCTCCACAACAGACACCCTGTGAGGTAGGTGGGGCTGAGAGAGCTCTGGCAGAAATGGCTCTTCTTCAAGAATAGCTCTTATCAGAACTATGACTTGCCCAAGGTCATCCAGCCAGGTACAAATGGAGGAGTGGGGAATCAAACCCAGTTCTCCCAGATTAGAGTCCGCGCTTGCCCAAGGTAATCCAGCCAGGTGCAATTGGAGGAGTGGGGAATCAAACCCAGTTCTCCCAGATTAGAGTCCATGCACTTAACCAATAACTCATGAACATCAATAACTCCTAACTCATAAACATCAATAAGGAGTGTCAGTCACAAACAATTTATTGTCTGAAAATTTAAAATACCTCTATTCATATATACTTATCAGCAAAACAGAATGACAGTAAGTGCAAAAAAACACTAAGAGGACTCACATATTGCATTTTGACCACATGCATCTCTGAGTACACAGAAGTGAAAAAGGTGATGCTATATCTATTTAGGTCCCTTTATGGACACAAATTCTTCAATGACTTGTTTTTTAAACAGCAAGGCTACACCTTCTCCCCGGGCCCTGCATCTCTACACTGAACAATAAATTGTCATAGGGAATTACGGTCGGGCCAAGATCCACCAATAACGTGCCCTCCTCCTCAGGACACGGCTGCGGTGCGATCCTAGCCTCGTCGTCCTGGGCGTGCTAACCAGTTTTAAGGCGGCAGAGAGGCGGTTTTGGGTCAAAGGGGACTTCCCTCTTAGTTTCCACGAGTGACCAGATAGGCGGACTCCACAGGTTCCCAAAGGCCGGGGAGCTCTCCTCTGGGGCAAGACCTTCCTACCTGCCTGGACCCCCGAGGGAAGTGGGCCAGTGCCCAGCCCTCCGCTGTCACCCGGGAGGGAAACACGAGGCGGCGGACGCGCCTGGATAGACCGGCCCAAGTAGGAAGCGAAGAAGGAGCGGCGCTCCAAGGGGAAGCGGAAGCGCCTGGGGACCGGCGGCCATGGCAGGCACGGGGAACCGCGAGTCTGACCTGGGCGCGGGCTCGATGAGGGTGGTGGTGTCCAGATAGTGGATCTTGTAGAAATCGAGCAGGGCCGGCAGGTGCTCGAACTCCTGGTCGCCGATCTTGAAGCGCCGCCCGGGCAGCGAGTTGATGATGTAGTGCGAGACGCGCGAGTTCTCCGAGACCGACAGCACGTAGTCGCCGGGGCAGGTGGACGAGTCGCGCACGAGGAAGGTGCCGTGGCGCTGGCCCTGCAGCCGGGACTGCGCCTCTGCCCTCGACAGCGGGCCCGCGTACCAGGCCGAGCGGTCCGACGCGTCAAAGCGGGCTGCTGACGACATGGCGGGCGAGGGGCTCAGGAAGGGCGGCGGGCGGGCCTCGGTCTCCCCCTCAGTGGCGGCGCATCTCCTCGCGCTTCCTCCCGCGGACAACGACTACAGGCCCGATCCGGCCCAGCTCGGGTTCGGGGAACTCGGCGGCCGCTGCACCGACCCCAGCCCCTCCGCTCGCCAAACCTCAGCGCCAAAATGGCGGCCTAGGCTGGATCGAAAGGGAAGGAAGGGACAGCCAAAGCCACGCCCGCCGCGCAGGCGCATAGCGAGGGCGAAGCCGCTCCGCCGCCCGCTGAGCCCGGGTATCTAGGAGGAGGGGCCGGCCGGCGCAGGAATCGGAGCTACTAGACAGTTTCCGCTTTATGCGGCTCAAGGGAGCTATCATAGGTGACCGCCGCCGGGAAGGACCGCTCTACCCTGTCGGGTGGCTTTCTCAAAGCCATAACGGTCTAGAACTCCTCCGGCCTCCACAACCAGGGTCTGAGGGGCGGGGCAGGCCCTGCATCTTGTGAACCGGAACTAAAGGAGGGCCGGTCGACGCTCTGCTGATCTGCTCGTCGATGGTTCCAGAGGAACGGCGTGAAGGGCCGCTGATAGTTTTGTCGGCCTCCTTCCCGCTGATTTCGGCTGTGGCTGAATAGCTTTAAAGTTGCCCTCCGCCCGGGCCTGCCTAGTCTATGTAGCAGCTCAGGCGCCAAGAGAGCATATGGGCGATGGCGGTGGCCCGGCTGCGGAGGGAAGACCCCCCTCCAGGCGGTTGGCCGTTACTGGAATGCAGCGGTAGGTCGCGCAGCTCAGCTGCTTGGTCCTCCCAGAAAGGCATCTTGTGGAGAGAGGCTGGTAGATTGTTTTGGCCACCTCATCGGAAGGAAAGGCCGGGTGAAGGAAGAATAGCAGGACGGGCGCTGGACACAGTCCTAAATACCGAGGATCCCTGGGTCTTTGGGCGCACGGCCTTGCTCAGGACGCTTGATGGGGCGCTGGGCTTTACACCGTGAAGATGTGAGGTGGGCTATGTAGTGCAAACGGCACCGCGGATCATTCACTGTAAGACAGTATGGATGGCACACAGGGAGATCTTTATTATCGTTATACTGTCATCTCAGGTTTTCTCTACAGGAAAAACCGGGGGGTGATGTTCTTGTAAACCCCCCCCCCCACGAAGCCTTGCCATCACAGGATGAACAGTGGCAGCAAAGGGGTTTAGAGCGTATGTGGCTGCAACAGATTAAATGGCCACCATGTTTACTTAGAAATAAGGTCTATTGTGGTCTCCCTCTCACAAAGCTTCCCTGGGATTCCTTCCTAAATTAAGCATATAATACAGCTTTGAGGCACAAGGGACTGCCTCATGTGCAGAATAACAGCTTCTTTACAAATAAGTATGCACACCACAACTGTATCAGGGAGGTGTTGTTGTTGTTCAATTGCACAGTCGAGTCCGAGTCTTCGCGACCCCATAGACCACATCACGCCAGGCCAAGGAAGGTACTTTGGTGATAGTGCATATAATTACAGCCCAGTAGTACTGTTTGGATGTCTAAATTGTTTCCTGTGTAAAGAACGTTCAAATTATATTAATCCCTAATCTGTACTCAAGATAGCAATGGGATGCCAGTGGCTGGCACTGGGCTAATCAGTATTCTTAAGAGCCTCTCAGCCAACACTATCAGCTGTTAGGAGACCCTTTGTGATGAATAGCAGCTGCTATACATACATGTAGAGCAGAAACATTTCTAGCCCTATTCCATGGAAAAATTTCAATTTCTGAGGACCCATTTTTTCATAAAATTAGTTAGTGAATTGATACCACTACCACATTAAGCAAGCCAGGCTGTTTCAACATTGTAATTAATTGTCTAAGAGTACATGTATATTTTACTGATTTACAAAAGTGAAAAGGACACCAAACAACAAATATATATAATCCCATTTTTAAATCAAGATTTAAAATAAGACAATTAGCTTTGACTTCAGTTTGGTATGCATGGCCAAGTGTCTTGTGTGTTCCCTCTCACAGGGATGAAGGCATAGTCTAATCACCATCTAATTTGGAAGTTGGAACTAAGATGTGCCCCTGTGACGGACTGCACTTTAAAAGCAGGTTTCATAGTGCAGGTAAATCAGAGAACCGGGATATAAAGAGTTAACTTTTCCCTGGAATGGAGCGCTTGAGTGGCAGGCTCAATTTAGGTGGGACATAAATTATTTCAAAAACCTATTATTTACACGCCATCATGGGCTGCTCAGTCACAGCAAAGAATAAAAGAATTTGGGCGGGAAAGTTCACACCGGTATGGGGATAGTGATAGGGGACCATCATAGCCCCAATGACCTCTGTTGAAGTTGACTGGACAAATATCAAAGCTACTATGGTGGAGTGGTTGGAGTGTCAGACTAGGACCTAAATCCCCATTCTGCCTTGGAAGCTTGCTGGGTGACCTTAAGCTACTCACACCCTCTCAACCTGACTACTTCACAAGGTTGTTGTGAGGATAAAATGGAGGGGAGGAGAATGATGTAAGGTACCTTGGGTCACTGCTGGGAAGAAAGGTAGGTATAAATATAATAAATATGTTTTTGAGTGTTAGTCTCTCAGCTTTCAGTTACCTTTCCCCCCATAAAAGTAAACAGTATATACAAAGTACAATTTATATTGTCTTTAAATATTTATTAGTCTTATTCCAATAAAACTTTCAACAAATCTTTGCGTTTATTTGAACTTTTAACCCACAGTTGATTCCCCCCCAATCAAATATTTCAGTTCAGGTATTTGTTTCTATTGGTTTAATTCATTAATTTAGTCAGAACAAAGTTGTTAAATCAGATCACATTCAGTTTAGGACATCACAGGTTTCTACATTTTTCCCCAATTCAGTTTTTTTCAGAAACCCACATCAGTGCTATACAGTTGATGCTTCTGCTCAGACTTCCTTCTTTTCAGTATTGCTGTTTCTTTCTGTTCACTTTCTTCTATTTCTTTAATGGATCTCAAGAGAGCTCTCGTTAACTCTGCCTCCCTATACTCCAGCACAGACACAAATATAAGTCTGAGGGGAGGTCTTCCTCCCAGTCAGAGTTGCTTTGCCCTGCCTGCTGTTTCAGGAGGTGGGACTTAAAACAACTGAGAGTGAACTCCTGTCTATTAGGAGAAGACAATGTAGCTAGTTCCACTTTTTGATCCCACCAAGATCTGAGACAGAGCAAGCTCACTAGGTATTACACAAAGTTCCTTCCTTCCATTTTACCAGAGCTTGTTGGTACTGAGAAATTGCACTCTTACAATTACAACCTCACAGTACTCATGCACAGAATAGTATGCCACTGTTGTCTATAGTAACTAACCAGTTACTAAATGCTTCTCAGAGGGATGTAACTGACATCGGATGTAACCACAAATAAAAAGATACAAGTAGTTTAAGGGGGAAAATCCTTTTTAACACATGCTAATCTCACTTCAAAATACCTATTTGCAATACCTCCATTTACGACCGAAGCTGGTATAATATTGTCTTGCTTACAGTATATTTCTCAGTGGGACTTTACTGTTATTCCAGCACTGAACAATTTTGCTGGTGTGTAGAGGTCTCTGGAACAAAGCCAGCAAAGACATCTTGGAGGGTGAAGTAGAACAACCAAATAGTACCTCTATCCACCCCAGCTATTAACATCTCCTCCACAAGACCCATTAAAATGAACAGATGTGCTGGAACAGTACCATACACTTCCACAGCTCCTGCTCATTTCAATGGGGCTTATATAAGAAGATAACCATAAAACAGGTTTATTACCCAGGGAATTTTAACAGAACATTAGGGAAGAAACTAAGCAGTATAAAGCTATAGGTTTGTTGGAAACTTCTGCTATAACAGCTGAGCACCCATTAGTTGTTTTTCAGAAATGGTTCCTGGTAGGCAGTTGCTCAGCTCAGTCACAAGTATTTTAAAGCAGAGACCTATTTCACCTACACGGATATCAGTCATGTATTTGTTTTTAAAAACACAACCTGTTAGGACACATCTGCTCTGGAACTTCTTTTCAAATGCACATAGATTTATTTTGCTAATATTTGTCAATTCTCTGTGCTACTGTTTGTTCCTTTGTATTATATATGCACTGAGCCCAGAGTAATTCCACACTTTTCTTGAATCAGCAGGCTGGCACACCTACCTGTGATGAGCAGATATGAAGTTTTTTGAGATGACTGTCCATACAAGATACATTGTGGGAAGGTCATCTTTAACATGTTTTTGATGTTCTTTGAATGAAACCAGGAAGTAGAGCTCTAACAAAGTGAGGGCAATAGCTACTGCTGCTGAGCTTCAGCATATATATTTTCTAAATGAGTAAGATTTGCTGGTGGCGACATACCTAAAGCAATATTTGTCAAGCTTAAGAAAATCAACAGCTGTTTGGCATCCTGTATCAATTCTTTTTGCTGGACTAAGATGAAAACAAAATGAGAGTTGAAAAACCCACTGTTCAGCTTGAGAAAGGATGTGGGGAGCAGATTACTAGGGTCTTCATCTTTTCTTTCTTCATCTCTCTTGGGGACATGCATATATATTCAAGTGCATTCCACCTGTTCCCACCACCATTGACATAATTGAGTCTATTAGACACAACTTGGTTTTCTTTTGGCTTTGGCATATCTGTCTGACATATACAGGAAGGAGTATTATATACATCCTTTTTTAAAGAAGTACAGAATAAAACTGAACAACAAAGATCTCTCTCCCAAGACAACTGGTCATTTTCTCTTCATCTGCACAGTACTGGGATGCTGGCTGCTACCATAAGCAGTTAAGAAAGGTGCAGAGGTGCTGGCAGCACAGAGGAGCTCAGAGGCTCAAGACACTGGAAGAAGATGGTTCTTCCTAGGCTAAGGTGCTCACCAAGGATTCTGTTTCAGGAGTAATGAGAAAGCAATTTTATGCTGGACAGCTGATGTTCAGAAGTGGCTGAGCTAAGTCTTTTGTGCTGCAAGTCAAGCAGCTAGTAAGCCTTCAGTGGACAGAACGAGAACCTTTTGACAGGAAAAAGCTCATTGGCTTGTCTCAAATGGCAGACCAACGGTGAAATCCATCTTCATATCAAATCCTTTTTAAAATCAGCAAATAATTTAAATATAAATTCACACTTCACTGATATACACACACACAGAGTTCCTAAAAGCCTTCCCTTAGTCAGGGGGTGGGCTACTTGCCACCCCGTTGTGCAAAGTGTCCTCATGCTGAAGGCCATCCAGCCCATTCCTAGTTGCCTTTTCAGTAGCCTCCGGCCAGCTCTTGCTGCAAGTCTTGTCGCTGTTACCAGGCTGCCTCCCACCAAAGGGTGAATAGGCAGCAAAACTCTGTTGGCAAGAGTGGGGCTGAGCAAATTGAAGGTGGTCACATTACCCGGCTCAGTTACAGCAGGGGGGAAAGCCAAAAAGTCAGAGGAAGGGAGGCCAGTCTCTCGGGCTAATCGTCACCCAGGTTATCAGATTCCTCCCAATCAAAACCCATGACCTTGGAAGAAACATCCAGGGGATTCTGCAGTCTGTCACGTTGCCACTCATGGTCCCATCTGTCCACCTCCATTAGGATGGCTCTCGGCAGTGTGAGGACACAGGCAGCCATCCCAGAAATATCCTCTTCTAAAGGAGGCCCTTCTTCCCAGTCATCTCTTTCAGCATTATAAATATGGACGTAGTCCATGCGGATGCCCTCGTTATGGGATCTGCCCCCTAAGACATAGATCTCATGGCCCAGGACAGCAATGCCAGGTTCTCCATGTCCTGCAGGTAAAGGGCGGACACAAGTCCACTGGCCAGTGCTTGGAGTATAGCAGGCAACCTGGAAGAAAGCAACACCAAAAACAAAAGTTGCCGATTATGAAAGGAACAGCTCCCCACAACTAGTAGTAACCAATGGGGTGCTGGAGTTCTTACCACATAGGCAACTATTTCTGGAACAACTGTGAAAGTTGCTTTATTATAACCAAACACTGAATAAGTACACGTAGAGAACACTGTTATGCGAAAAAAAATAAGCACTAGTCAGACGGAGCACTGACTCACCCTGTGAACGTCTCTTCTACGGCCAGAATCATTGTTACTACCTCCAATCACATACAGCCTCCCCAGCAGTGCAGCCATCCCATGCCAGGCCCGTCGGACGGGCCCATCAGCCAGGCTCTCCCAGCGATCAGCTACTGGATCGTAACTATGCAGCTCTTTCAGGTAGTCCTCACCTCGTCTTCCACAGGTGATATATATCTTCCCTTCCAAAGTAGCTCCCGCATGTGCGTATACCTGCATCAAAACACAAAAACGGTGAGATGGAGTCACTATTTGGGACCCTGAGCATTTTACTCAGCTGCCCTTCCCCCCGCAATATATCAGTTATCTATACAGAGAGAGAATAAATCTATAGGACTTTCTAAGGTAACCAAAGAAAGCAGTCCAGGATGGTGGAGTTTTTATTCTCCAATATGCATGAGCTGCCTGAACAGATGCGAATGTTTTGACAGAGAATGCACATTCTGAAATCAGGATTCCTCCTGTTAAATATTTTGCTAGACTTGTTTTTTATGAGTAACCTATTCTGCTCCCAAGATTCAGGCAGTAGGTATTTTGGCAATGTAATGGAAAGAGGATGGGCACCAAAACTGGGAAAGAGGGCACAAACCAGTACAGTGCTCTGGAGCCCTCATGCCCCAGAACACTTTCCCAACCACATTCTGGTTTTGAGCCTTCATTTATTTCCAATTTTTGCAACCATAGAAAATATTCCTCCCCTCCACCAGTCCCAGCTTCAAAGCTTAAAATGGCAGGATGCTGACTGTTGCAGTAGACATGCAAAATACCTGTGACTCTAGCTGTTTGGCTCCCAGCTATCCAGTAGGATATGATATACTAGTTGCCTCTAGTTGGAGAAACTAGAGAGGGACTGTGGGTTAGTGGCAGGACACCTGGCTTTGCATGCAGATGACTCCAGGTTCAATCCATAAATTCTCCAGTTAAAGATCTCAAGTAGCAGGTCTTCGGAAAGACCTTTCTCTAAGACCTTGGAGAGCTGCCACCAGAGAGACTATATGGAACCCAGTGGAAGAAGAAGAGGATATTGGATTTATACCCTGCCTTGAAGGAGTCTAAGAGTGGCTTACAATCTCCTTTCCCTTCCCCTCCCCACAACAGACACCCGGTGAGGAAGGTGGGGCTGGGAGAGCTCTTTTGAGAACTGCTCATGAGAGAACAGCTCTGAAAGGACTTGGGACTGACCCAAGGTCACATCAGCAGCTGCATGTGGAGGAGCGGGGAATCAAACCCAGTTCTCCCAGATTAGAGTCCGCGCTCCTAGCCACTACACCAAACTCGCTCTCAATGGAGCAAAGGCTGTCTGACAGGTGAGATTTATCATGGGCCAAATACGAGATTCTGGGTCCAGGAAGGACACCTTCCCTACCTAGTACAGAACTAAAAAAGACCCTGGCAAGAAGTATTCTTTGGTGTCTAGGGAAGAGGCTTTCCCAACCACTCCTCAGTGGCTGGGCATCTCTGGCACTGCAATTTCTTGTGATTCGAGCAGCCAGTGTGGGAAGCAACAGTGGGGTAGGGAAGGAGCCCTGTACCTAAGGGTCCTGATGTGCTATGAGCTCCACCTACACTCTAGCCTACCTTGGGTACAGAGTGATGGTAAGCACAGCTATGCTTCTGACTGCAACCCAGCCTGCAAGTGGGACCTTAACTAAGAACAGTTGTTGTAAGCAACGCTTGGCGTGTACCCAAAATCAACTTTGCACCACTCTTATCTCCCAGACTGGAAGACAGATTTCCCTGGGAAGCTTGCCAGCAGGACAGGATGAAGGCAGCCTTCTATAAATATTCTGTGACTCCCCATCATATGACCAAGCAAGGGGGCACTTGAGGCCATGGATCCAGAACACGCTTTTGACAGAGCCCACCAGCACTCGTCCTCATATATATCACCCTCCTTACCTCCTTCTTCAGGGGGGCCACATATTCCCAGGTGTTGGTTTTGGGGTCGTATCTTTCCACCTCACGCAAGTCTTCGTGGTAGTCCCGTCCTGCCACGGCATAGATGTACTCGCCCACGACACAGACACAGAGGTCTGCGTGCTCTTGCTGAAGGGACTGGATCTGGAACCACTTGTTGTGTCGTGGGTCATACCTTACAAAGGAAGATGAGGCGCTATTGCCAGATTGCAATAGCAGAGGCATCTGGCACAGCCATAGGCATCTGGCTGCTCTCAGCAAACCTAACAGCCCCTGCCACAGTTCTCCCCCATCTGCACAGCTTGTGTCCTGAAACAGCAAGAATGCTTTTTCTTACTGTTTCTTTAGCAACTGCCTCCAAATGAGCAGCTAAGAGGCACACTGGGCCTCCAGCCACCCATCCTTCTGCCTGCTGCTACCTTCATTGCTGTCCATTTCTTTTTAATGCCGGGCCTAGCAGCTTTCACAGCACAATCTCTCTTTTCAAAGGGCCAATAACAAGAGAACTGTGACTGGCTACTACTGCTCAGAGGAGTGATTGCGCTCAGAGTGTGAATCCTCAACTTTAGCTGGCAGGCTGAGAGCCCTCATCTTCCAGACCCCCATATTCATTCAAGAGGAAGTCTGCTGAAGAACTATCATCCAAGGCAAGGCAGAACCCATCTATTTTTCCTCTTTCATGTAAGCAGGGCAAAATTTTGTCTTCCCCATTTTTACATACTACAGAGATATTTCCATCCTTATTACACTTGATAAATGCCAGTCTTCCATTTACCAAGTCCTACATATATAGTCAGAATTATTCCCACTTTACAGACAAAAACACAACCACAAAGCAAAAGGAAGTGCAAAAGATTTCCTCACAGCAGCGGACAGATTTCAAAATTCCAAAGAAAGTTCACCAAAGCAACAGAGGTTACTACAGCCAAGTGTGGCATAATGGCCACAGTGTTGGATTTCGTTATGAGAAACCTGGATTCCAATTCCTGATCAGCCCAAAACAGTAAAAACACACTGGCAATTTAAAATCAAGAAGCAGCCCCTTACCTCCAACATCTGAACTCTGCTCGAAACCCTCGTACATTGTTATCTCCCCCAATTAAGTAGACGAAGTTGTTGAGAACTGCAATTCCTTGGTTAGACATTTTGCGGGACTGTGCTGGAGCAAAGTGCCTCCATTCGCCTGATAATGGGTTTAAGTACTTAGCTTGGTTGCTGAGAACCGTAGATGGAGTAGAATGCATCCCCCCAAAGCCCACAACACACCGATACTCTGACCTCAGCTGTGTATGCATGTTCTGAAGCATTGGTTGAAGGCACTCATTCTTGTGGTACATCAATGCACTGGCCACCGTCTCCTTTATTGGACACGGGCTCAGTTTGTCGTGGAGCCTCTGCAGAATGTGGAACTCCATCAAGGGAAAACGGACTGTCTCTAGCAGCTTAGGAGGTTCCATCAAAGAGACCTGATCTGTCTCCACCTGCTCTGGTGTGTAATGGTAAAGGAGGGCCCCTTCATAGACCTCATTCTCAGATGTGACCTCCAAGAGGTTGCTGCTGAGGAGGGTGTAGACCTTTTCAAGGGGGAGCTGGCGGTACATTTCTGTCTTTGAGAATGTAACAAAATTTTTCAAAATGTAGGAGTCCAGCTGCTCATTCAGATGGCTCAGGCCAAAAAGTTCTGCTAGTCTATACACATCCAAGATGTTCTCATCATCCACCCAAGACATGAGGAAGTCACAGCAGAATTTGATAACTTCAGGGATCTGCAAGAAGGAAAAACACATGAACTCATTTGATCTATGAGCATTGCTCCCTCTAAGCTTTGTGAGCAACTGGAATTAAAACTGTGAGCAAGCAATTTGGCTACTGCATAAATTAGTTTGCTCGGGAGTTATCCTCCCTGAGCTAAGACAAAAATGTGTGAGCCGGAGTAAAAAACTGTGAGCTAGCTCACACTAACTCAGCTTAGAGGGAACACTGTCTATGAGGAGATCCAACAATGATCTCGCAACAGGACTGTAAACCACTCTGACCCTGCAGAATGTTTAAAAATAGCAAATAAGCCCAAATCCCATTAAAAAGTTTGCAGTTGAAATAGATCCATCTGATCAAGATGGAGATTTACTTAATTTGCAAACTTCAGTGTAGTTCCAAAATTTGCAGATTTTTTTTCTTGGGGGGGGGGGGGC